TACTGAGGCACTGGACGAGGCAGGTGATTGATTGTCTTGTGCGAATGTGTGAAATTCCACGGCTTAGTCTCCAATACAATTCCCAGACAACCATTTATCTCTGTGGCTCCGGCGCGCCATTAAGCGATTAATGCATTTTCACACACACACACACACACACATCCTCCATGGCCCCCGGAGACCCCAATCCACACCTCCCAATTGCATCCACCGAAAGAGCCTGGCCATTCTGGCACCCGGAGAACGCAAAACGGCCAATTCAGACGTAACCCGTCAGCCAAATTGTTTAATGTGCGCGGAGTGTTCTCAGGCAGCCATCGTGTCCGGAAATGTGGAGTCGCTTCCAGCCGGAGTATTGATCTGACCCAACTGATTTATAGGCCATGATGCCGGCTAGTATTCCCAATGGAGAGATGAGCTGACACTTTTCAGCATTTTCAGCCAAAACAGGTTCAGTTCCTGACATTCTATTCGCCATTGTAGACACCTGAATATGTGACACTCACAGCTTAGAAAATACGCAAATCATTTTCGTGATTAACCTTGCTGATTAACTTAACATGAGTACGAGTGAGGAGTGTCACAGCTTTAGCTCTTCAGGGACTCTCACACCCCCTAGAAAACATGTCCATTCAGCTGCCCCGCCCACTCCAATGCTCCGCCCATTGATTTCTCTTGGTGCTTCTTCGCTAACCCTCAATATTTCCACGCACGAGTTACAGACAAAATATACGGGAAAATTGCATTGAAAATTATTTCAAAATAACTTTTTTGTTGTCATTTTGTGCTGAAAATACAATCCAATAGAATTTTAATTTCGTGCCTCTTTGCTCGGTCCCATTGTCTACCACAAAACTCCATCTTCGACTGTCAAAAATTCCATGCGCCGCATCTCTTCTCCTTGCCTTTTCCCACAGAAAGTTTCTCTTGGCCACAACCACTGAGCAAACACATAAATATTTATCGGATAGTCGAATTCCCACTTGAAAAGTCTCTACAAATGCATTTCAATGAATGTGAACGACATGAGAGTCTCAACTGCATGTTCAAAGAACAGGGTGGAGCGTCTGCCTTTCTGCCTTGGGCAAAAGGGCCTCAGGAGTTTTGAAATTTCCGCTGCAATTGAGGAGTATTTTTGGCAGCCATAAAATCGAAAGCTCATATTAATTTCACTTTGTCATGCTTCGTAGTCGTTCTGCTCTGCGATTTGCGACTTGGTGGGGTTGGCTTGAAGGTGGGCTCAGGAGAGTTTGAGGAGCAGCGAAATGGGGTCAATTCAGTGGATATTCTTTGTTCTCTTCTGCCTTGTATGGGATTTATTGTGAAAATTCCACCTATTGATCGCGGACAGAGGTGGGAAAAATGATCCTCCACGGAGAGATTTCCTCTGGACTGAATAATTGCTGTGTGGAGATTCTGCATTGTCTTTCTGGCTCACCTGAAGCTTCGCCACACGAAAGAATGCTGAATTTTCAATTCCATTCAATCGGATTAGATTTTTCATGTGGAAAGCCATGCTAGAGAAAAGCAGATTTTCCCAGAGTGTGAGTGTGAGTGAGCGAGAGGCGAATGAATAGGATTTGTCATGTCTAACAAAAAGCGACAGCCACAGTGTGGAATAAGAGGAAGAAGACAATTTTGAGGTAACACCTTTTCATCTCTGACCAGTGTTTTGTGTATGTGAGAAAATTGTCGCAATTTGAGAACAGACGACAAGCAAATAGAAAGGTGGGAGTGTAAGGAAAGTGAACAATAACGATGAGCTTTTTGCTCGTCTCTCCTGTCTCTGAAGAAAATTTCGACAAGCTTTCGGGGTGGATTATGTGCCTCAAACCCCAACAGCAAACGGCAATTTGTGGCGGGAAGCGGAGCCCCAGCAATTGGATTTACCACCCACCCAGAGGTACACTTCCCCGTCTGTTTTATTTAGCAACAAAAATATGTTGACTCTTGCTCCAATATCTGCCCCACTGAGCCCACCTCCTCCATCAATTTCGATTGTTGTCACTGAATTCTTGTGTTTTATTTCTCTTACCTCCACTTTAACATGGCTTTTCGCTGTACACCCTCCGCCCCCATCGCCTGCGAAGCACTCCTTTTATTTTTGGTTTTCGGGGAGGCCTCAGTGTGCTATACATAAAAAACAAACCACGTACACCCAACTTATTCACGAGCAAATGCCCGACAAACTCTGATTAACATGAGTCTCTCGAGTTTCTCCCCGCAAAATGAAATTGACCGCATGGAAATAAGAATGATATTGGATGGTGGAAATCATGGAAGGAATGGACAAATATGCATTGGGGTGCTTGCCAAACCGTCGCCTTCGCTTCCACGCTCCTCCATGTCTTGCGTCCTTAGATATGTCCATGAGAGGAAAATTGGATTTTCCGACTTTTCACGGAACACCTGGAGAACAAGGAACTAACAGCCAAAGAATCCTCATTTCGTCGGAATTTTTTATTAAAAGCTTCTTTTGTTTAGAGAAGATTATTTGATCAATTTTCTTGAGGAAAAAGCTTGCATTTATTGATGTCTGTCATGTGAGTTGAATTTCAATATTGCAACTTGTTGTCGGGCGAACAGACTGAATTCTCGGAACGAATTATTCTTGTATTTGCTTGCTTATATGCAGAGGAAATTGCTCGCATTAAGTTGTTTTGCAATCTGGGCTTTAATACAGAAAATTTACTGTTTGCATTTTATAAAGAGGTATAATTTCTCATAAAACTCCAATTAATACATATTCATAAGCATAAATCTGTCTCAATTGGAGTCTTTGAAATATCCTTTAGAGACTTTAAGCATCTTTTACAACCAATGAATAGTATTGGTTTATCATTATTGTCCACCTATCTAACAATAAATTTAGTATTAATGACCGTAATTGAATATAAACATCTCAGCTATGAATAATGTAATGGTATAAAATAATAATGAGGTCGTTATGCAGAATGAATGGGGTTGATTTGAATTTAGTGCTCTTTGTGACGACACTCAAAAAGCGAGATGGAGACGCCTGGTGAGGAGACTTAAACTGGCAAATTTTCCCTCTTGCGCAACATCCCGTGATTTTCGGCCGTAAAAGTCTGCTCAGGGCGTGCAATGGGTGTCTCCAAAGAGCCCCGTGAGTGACAGCAACTCCTCAGCAGGGAGTCCAAAAAAAAAAATTTATGCAGAAAGTCTCACGCGTGTGCAAAAAGTTGCGCGCGGGGTCGCGTAGTGTTGGAAAAAGTGTGTCGCGCGGTGGAAAATGTAAAGGACGAGAGCTTGGCCGTGTGCCGCCCAAGGAGACGCGCGAAAATCCTCCAAGTTCTCCACCTGTTCCGCGGAATGTGGTTTCAAAGTCACCAGATCTTGACCCAGAGGCGCCGATACCCACAGTGACTCCCCAGCAGACGCCCGGCTTCTCTCACTCCCCCTTTCAGCCGCGCGCGGGTTTAATTTATTTTTGTCCCATCATGCAAAATGACGCAATTCTCAAGTTTAATGTTGCCTCTCCTCGCCATCGCTCTCTTTCACTGCCACGGCGGGCTCACGAGGAAATTGAGAGCACACACTCTCTTGTCAAATGGCCAAGTTGTTTTGAATTTCACTCATTTCTGCATTTCACTGGTGTTTTTGTCATGTGATTTGGGCACCGCGAAATGGGGTCAAATTCCTCCTCGGGATGGCGAACAAAAGTGCATTCGATTCCTTGCATGATTGCAAATCCACATTGAAAGAATGCATCAGTGCGGATAAATGTAATTTGAATGTTGAAAATAGCACCTGTCAGACCCATGTCAGTCTCTCAAACTCAAAAGCCCTCCTCTCCCTTATCGCAACACAGCGATTTCCATTGATAGTAATCTGTATATCCCAAAATAGCTCCCTATTCAACGGAAATGTTGTGTTTTTTTTCTTATTTTGAGGAAATAACCCCAGAAATAAATCAAATTATATGGCAAAAATAGAACACATCCTATAAGACGTTCCCAAAATACACCGGGGAAACCCGCATAAGCTCCTCCTGCTCCGTCAAAATGAGCTTTTCGGCAGTTTGATCACGTCGCAAAATTCTCTCGGCCATTCTTTATGCACTTCACCTCCCGTAAGCTTCCACTGACAATTTTTCTGCCGGCGCGAGGCGAGTGCTAATTGTCGCTGAAGGAGGATTTCCCACCCGCGATGGGTGACGTGTGGGGAAAAGCTGGGAGGATTTGTCAGGAAATTTCCAGCAGGAAGTATTGAGACGGTGTGATTGGTCTCCCCAACCAAGCGGATGGATCTTAATTCCGCTCTGTGGTGAGACATTTTCGGGATGGGTGAAGTGGAGACCGTTACACTTTGAAAATGTTTGAAAATTCCGCAACTCTGCGCACACCTCGGAACAAAGGAAAATCTCTTCTGCAGATGTAAAGTCAAGTGAATAGATTTCCCGGCAATTATCAGTGAGTTTCGGGCGGTGAAACAGTAAATTTTTCACTAGCAATTGTAAGCGGGAAGTGATGGTGTGGGCGGTTTGAGTGTTAAACACTCACTTCCTCCACATTGAATCCCCAAATAATTCCCACATTCAAATGGGCCACTCGTCTCTCTTTCTCTCTCGATTGGGGTCAATTTGAGAACAAAGGGGAGCTTTTCTATTTCGGTCATCTCACCTGACAGACTCTTGTGCCTTTTCTACGCGCCTCTCGGCTGAACTTTAATCACCACATCGCACTTCTTGAGACACCCTCGAGAGGACATCCCTTCGCGGACACTATATATATTCCTGGTTGGGTGGCGAGATCCCTCCCTACCCCTTGATTTTTCTTCTAGACTTTTTGGGGCAGCCACGGACGAGGAGTTATTTTCGAAGGTGCGATGATGAAAATGTGTGCGAGATCACGATGTCACTCACGAAAGTGTGATTTCTCAGTGTGAATTTATAACTATATGGATGTGTAGAGAGAGAGAGAGAATGAGTGTGAGAAAAAAAAGCGAACTTTTATCGTTTTCATCGCATAATTAATTACCTCACATTCGGGGTCTAAAATAAAATTAAGCCGCTCGAATGAAAATCGATGTTCAGTTCTTTAGCTGGGTGTACGTCGCCTTTTGCCCAATTGCCACCCCCAAATTGGTCACTCCTCCTTCTGTTGCCTCCGCGGCTTTTCCTACGGTGAAATATTAACGACTTCCTCCGCTCTTCTCTCTCGCAGTGACACAAAATAACAACACACACAGGAGTTACACACTTAAAGAGTCAAACAGAAAATTCTCATCAAGCCAAAAGTCCCTTTCTCTCAAAAAGTTCCCACACAATATATAGTTTCTTTCAGTAACGGATTGATTTTTTTTTGTTCTTCTTGCCCTAATAGATGAACTTTATACGATGGTCTGTACGGTTTAAATGTGAACCATTTGAAAATCCGCAACGAACTGAAAAGCCACGAGCGGTGCATTTGGGAAGGCAGCAGCGAAGGAAAAGCGACGCATGCGCTCTCTCTTCCCCTCATTTCTCAGAGCTTTTCGGATTTTCCACACGCACACATGCCTTTCTGCGGCACCATGGCACAGTGTCACACTGGCCCTCACTTCCCCTATGGGCAAACTGACGGAATTCCTGCCAGCTTGTCACGCGGACAGAGTGGAATGCCTTATGCGGAAAATGTCTCAATTATCTTGTGAGCTTTTTCCTTATTTGAATGCCGCCGCCTCGTCACAGCAGCATTGAGATGCACTCCGCGGCCTTCGCCGCCAAATGCTGTTGGGGGGTTTTCACGCCGACTCGTCGGAGACACACCCCGGCGTCGCGGGGGGAAATCCGTCCGTTGAAAGCTCCGAAAAAGCTCGAGAAAGGGCAGTTGAAAGACCTACACATGGACTTATTGTGCGAAGTAAGCGCAATTGCAAAAGATTGTGGACTGTTTTGTGAGAGGAAAATCCGGTTTTGGCTGACAAAAGGCAACAATGACGGCTTGTAAAACCTTATTAATTACTTGAGAAGGTATTAATCATCTTTGGGGCTTCTCGCGCTTGAATGCAACATTAATTAGAAGAAAAACAACACACATTTGTTAGCTTTTTCTATACACACAATTTTATTTAACTGTTTGTTTCTTTTTTTTCTTTATCAACAACAAAAATACATAAGACATAATACAGATCGGTAATTTAAGTATATAATATTGTACTAAACTTGATTCATTTTTACCCTTTCACCTCTGCAAGATTCACCAATTTTACTATTTCCTTGCAGTTTTTTCTTCTTCATCTCCTCACATGATTCAGTTCTGAAAGTCTGGCTTTTTTCACATCGTGTAATTATCATTTTAATTCTTGCTTTTTTCATATCTGTATACTCGAGAAATTTTCCTCCGAATCCACCAATCAAATGTTTACAATAAATACCTTCCATTAGCAATTATTGTGGATCAAAGGGGAAAAGTGTGTGTTTGTGTGGGAATTTTCAGAAGAAAAACGAAAGAAAAAATCCCAGATAATCCAATTCTGTGATGTGCTCGGCTTTCAAAGTGCATTTTGAAGAAAAAGAAAACGAGACTGTGAAATGCCTAAAAAGTGAATAATGTCAATATCAAATACATTTACGAATTTCTGTCTCGCACTTGTCAATTTGTTCCTTTTTTTGGGGATATTATTGAGTTATACTTTTTTTTCTTGTTAATTGTGATAAGACTTCATTTTTTTTTTGTATTCTTCTCCTTTGCATATTTTCTCATGCTCATTATATTCATGGTTCGCCATCGTTTCTTATTTAATAAATATATGTGGAAAAATGTCAATATTACTTTGTGATATTAAATACAATGAAATATTATGTGGGATTAATTATGTTTGTTCTTTATCGCATTTCCATCATCTCATTAAAAGTGTCCACTGGTGAGGTTAATCTTGATTAAAAGTGTCTTTATTTGCGCTAAAGTGTGATTAAAGCAAGAAATTAATTCATGTTTCTTTTTCTCATTTATCTTTCGAGCTTAGAGTGAAAATTTGATATGGTAGTAAGATTTTCCGTTATACTTGTCTTCTCATTTTCCTCAAAAAAATTGACAATTTTGATGATATTCACATCATTTTTCCGTCTCTAATATCTGGATAAGATAAAAATCTCTTATATTGAGTGATTTGGCTCCTCATCTCCGCTCTCCCTTTTTTCCTTCTTCTTTTTTCTTTGACTGTGTCCTGTCTTACAGTTAGCAATATTCCGATTAGATGTAATGATAACACGTAATGTAATAATATTGCCTAAGATATATATAATATATATTTTTTAAATATATAATACTATAATATTCATTATAAATATTTCCAAAATACACTACATTGAAAATATGTCAATATAATTTTAGTTTAATTTTCTTCTCATCTCGTGTCCTTCTTAAAAGATACTCCTTGTCCACCTTCTGTCCTTTCAACACAAACAACTAATTTGTCACTTCAATTATTTTCACGTCTCCACAAAGACTCAATATTGATCAATAGTATCTTTACTCTTTTATACTTTAATTAAACTTGTCTTCTCCTTTCATTTTTTCATCTTTTTTTTTTATTATATTTGGCGACATCATAAGATTGGCTTTTGGCACCTTTGCATCTAATTGTATACTCTTCACGATAAAATTTGCTTGTTCTTCTTCACTAATAAGACGTTTTCATCATCTTGTAATTTACCATTTAATATTCACATTAAGAAAATGATTGATAAAATTATAAACAATTTGTAAGAGAAGCGTGTAGAATTTTTTCTTCTTTATTTCTGTTTCCATCAATTTTCTTTTTTACTTCGCACAGCTGTAAAAGCCTTTTTCTTTGTCAATAATAATCATATTAAGACATTCTATCAACATGAAAATTCACGGTCTAAATTGCAGAACCGCAAAAATTTTCCCATTTACCGCAATTTTTCTTCCTGATTTCATTTTTTCCACTTCATTTTCTTCCTTGTATTTGTCCTCAAAATTCTCTGTCTATTGATTTGCTGGAGGTTCATTGAAGGTACACGAAAGATTTTCTATTTTCCTAAGCATTCAAAATACCTGCAAATCACCCCCATCTTTATTATGCTGTTTAATGTTGTTACATTGGAAAATTAGGAAAAAATCCTTCCACTCTCAAAGTCGCAACGAAAAATTTTTCCTATTTATGTTTCCTCTTTCTCTCCCTTTCTTTTTTTTAATGTATTTCCTTATGTAAATTGCGAAAGACCCTGTATATTAAAGGCTAAATTGGTTCCCGATTGAGAATGTCACTGATGCGCAATGCAAATGCTTTCGCTTTCTTGTCTTTGTTCTTCTTCACCGGCGCATTGAGCGCCAGAAACACTCTCATTTAGAACAATAAAATTGTAATTCAATTCAAATATGTCTTTTTTATGTTATGTGACGTAAATATTGTTGATAAATATTTTCTTTTATACCATTATTAATCCATGTTCTAATGTTTCCATCTTTTTTTTACATTTATCTCTTTTATTGTGTATCATGGGTCAAATTCTCATTGATTTCACATCTCATCTGCTCTCAATCCACTCCTTCACGCGTCTTGAATCTCGCATTTTCCCTCTCCATATAGTTTCTTCTTCTACAAAACAACAAAGATAAAGCTCAAAACCAATGGTTGTTTTTTTTTATCATAAAATTCAATTCAGAACTCTGTGAATGTTCAACTGCTTCAGCTGCACTTTCTTAGACAATCCACAGAGAGAGAGAGAATTTCTCTCATAAAGTTGCACAGCTGATGCAGTTTGTCACTAACCGAGGACTTGTGATTCTCCTAAATTGTATATATAATTAACATAGAGAAGGACAAAATGAAAATTCCTCACACTTGCAAGCTGTTCATCTGCCATTGCAGCTCAAAAGAAACATCTCATCTACAGCACAACAACTCTACACAAGGCTAGACCAAAGAACAATAATATCGCCAACGAAATATTGTTAAACGCAAGTGACAAAAAGGAACTGAGGCGGTAAATTCAGCTGTTGGCTCCTACTTTCACTACAAATCACAGCTCTAAGAAACCATCGCGAAAATATATTGTAGAATTGGTGTTTTTTTTCTTCTGATTGGCGCGACCCAACGCTCAAGTTCAAGTGCTCCTCCCTTTTTTGTTGCTCTCTTGCTTCAATGCCGCGGATGGATGATTTTCCCCAAACCGCGACCGCTTTAAAAGGTAAAACTGTGTGACTATTAGAATACAACTTCACAAAATGTTGCTTATTTTTTATCCCTGTTTTGCCACCTCGATAGAGTTTTTGTAATTCACTCTGGATATAGAAGTTATACAGTTCAATCAGGAGAATCTGCATGAGCGAGAAGAACTGAGAAGAAAACAATTACTTACCAAAAAGAATGGAGAATTTGTAAAAGATTAACACAGTGTGGTGGAAAATTGTCCAAATTACTTTGATAACTTTGAAAACCACACTGATAAACTAAAGAAAATCACCCTCCTCGCTAAGACAGTCTCTCCTGACTTTGCATGATTGTTATAAGAGTGGTGTCAAAAGAATAGTTTTGAAAATAGTGTAAAAGAAAGATGAGAAGCTATAAGAAGTTTGCACTATACAAGACTCTCTACAAGACAGACACATGGTTTAAAACTCGCCTAAGCAGCTTATAAATTTATTCACATTCACCACTCGTCTAAAGACATTTGTCCATTTATATCAAAGAAAAATGTCTGAAATTGTGATAGAAAAAGAAGATTTTTCTGTGTCTCTCTCTCGAAGCTCTCTCTATCAATATGATTGCCTTGCAACGATCTAGTTTAAAGTTGTCTTTCTCTCGGAATTGATAAGTTTTGCGCTCCTTCAACCTCCTTTTTTCTCTTCTTCCTCTTCTTCTTTTTGGCTCTATAATATAATGTAAAATTGTAACGTCAATCCTCAAAGTCGACTTACATGCTAAATTGATAAGGGGAAAATTGTTGTATTTTTCACACACTTGAAAGAATGTCTGAATTAGGAAGTAAAACGTCTAAGATTGAATAAACACCTAACTTTGCATTTAGAATGTACACTTTTGTGGAGCCAGTTGCCTTTCGACGCTTCAAATGTACATTATTTTTCCTCTTATATTCCTCACGACATCTCCTAAAACATCAATGAGTTGAAAATTATTACTTTTTTTTCCTTTTAGATTTGTTCCATTTGGTGAAATGGTAATGAGAATGGTTGTTGTGTGTGTGCTTTGTGGTGTGGAAAAGGGGAACTTTACAATGCAATTCTGATACGATTGTCCAATAAGTTATAGTCAAAAATTGCAATTATTGTAATTTCGTACATCAAAAGTTCTCATTGAAAATATTTAAATATTTGCCCTCTTATCGCCCCTTCTTTTTTCTTCACTTCTAAGAATGTGATAAAATATTCTGTGGTGGGTAAATACACATTTATTTACGTTTTCATGCTTCACTTTAATACCATTTAATTATAGTTTTTCATCATTTTGTCGCAAAAATTGTTTTTATACACACACGGTTGAGCTATGAAAGAAAGGAAAGGAAAACAATAAGCAATGAAAATTAGAAAATAAAAGACTTGCTCGTTTTTTAAATAATAACGCAATTTATTTCAGAGACAAAATAAAATATTAAGTCAAAGATTATTATTTTAAAATATAAATCGTAACAAGTATTTTCTTTTTAGAGTGAAATTTTGACAAATAAAAATCAGAGGAATTCAGTCTCATTGAAAAATCAAATGTAAAAGAAGAATCTCGATTTAAAACCAAAGTTTTCGTCACTTTAATATTAGAAATAATCAAAATATAATTAGAAATATTGTTAAAATAATAATTGTATAACAGAATGAGCAATATTTGTGTACCCTAAAAAAACCGTCTACAATTACCTCAAGGTTAATTTGCTAAAGTCTATTAAATATTTCTCTTCGCATTTTGGCACACAACAATACATTTTTATGTAAAATAAAAAAAAAAGAGTTTGAAAGTAAATCTTATGAAGCTTGTCTATTCTCAATAAAATCATATTATCTTCAGAAACCAACACGCCAAATAGGGTTTGTTTAAAAAAGAATTAGCCTTTTGTCTTTGTCGAGAAACTCAAAAATCCATTGGATAGTGAATTCTCCCTTTAAAAATCCTTTTTCTCATCTTGTTTTTTTTTTTTCTTTTAAACAGCCCTAAGTTACGTATTATACATATATAAATATCGTACTTTTAAAATTTTATTATTATTTAATAAGATTTTAGTTAATATTTTTGCATCTACTTAATTTTTTTTTCATCTTATTCTCAATACTTGCAACTATTTTCTGTTCTTCCTCATCATTCTCCACATTTTTCTTCTTCTCCTTCTTCTTCTCAGTATATAACAATAAAATTCAACGTGTTGCCGACTATGTTTTTTTTTCTTTATCATCTTCTATAGTTATTTTTCCTTATCATTTTATTTTCATCTTATATAGTATTTAATATACTTTCTTTAATATTGCATGATTTTTCTTCTTTCAATTACTTTAAAATTTACAATTGTCAAGAATGATTAGACAGAGATTTCTTAATATTTTCTTTTTTTTAAATAAGAAAAAAAAAACAAATATTTTATTTATTTAAAAAATGTTATTTAAAATATTTTCGAGAATACAAATACGATAAAAGTCGCAATAGAAAAAAAATCGAGGAAAATAATTACTTTAAGATCAAATTTATCATCTTCTTATCACAATTTGTATTTTTTTTTCAACTCTTCTCATTTCTAAAAATTCCGTGTTTTTTTTTGTTTTTTGCCATGAACAAAAATCATCAGTTTTTGAGAAATTACAATTAATTTGGCACTTTGAGTGCAGTTCTAATGAGAAAAAAATTTCACTCTTTTTCACATCTTTATGTCCATCTATATTTTTCTTTTATTAAATTAATGATTTCCATTTCTTTTTTTTTCACACTATATATTTATAAAATTCTTTGGCTTGATCCCATTTTCCGAAAAAACTACCAAAAATCATAAACTTGATGCATTTTCTTTTTGCAAAAAATTTCCTCTTATGCTGGAGTCAAAATGAGTTCGAGGAAACTCTCTTTTTCTTCTTCATTTTAAATTTCTTCGTTGCATTCTTACAAATATATTGTTTTTATGAATTTCTTTTTTTTCACTCTTCAGCTTGCTTTTTGTTCAATTCAGAATGAAATTTCTTTTTGGAAAATCACCAAGAAAAAAAATTCTCATTTCTATAACATTTTTCTTTTGTTATATTTAATATTGCTTTTTTGTCAAATTCTTTTACCATCGCTTTCTCTCTCGCTCTCATCTTTCACACATTTGTCGCAATATTTCTCCTTTTACTTATTAGATATACGATAAGAGGTCCTTATCATCGCATTTGTGTTTTTATCATTTGTTTCTCTTTATTCTTGCTTGTGAAATAATTTGACAATGCAACGTAAATTCGCGAAAACTTGTTTATCTATTATTCAATACTATTTAAAAATTGTTATTGAAGATATACTTTGCTTTTCATTCACTTCTTCTTCATTAAATATATATTTTTTTTCCAAGAATCTCCTTGTTTTTTTTTATTACCATACATATTTCACGTCAGATACATTAAGATTCGAAAAAAGAGTGTGTCTTCCTCTTTTGTGTGTGTGTGTGTTGTCACCATTTAAATCTACATACCATCAATTCATATGTTTATCATTTTTATCTACAATTAATATGACAGTATATTTGAATTAGAATTAAAAAAATGAATTGATATTGATATAATTTCTTATGATAAGTAATTAGAATTAGAATAACTTGTTCCCAATTTTCTCAGTTATTCATTTTATTGTGTTAAAATGATTTTTTTTTATTTACCTTTTAAATATGTTCTTCTTCTTTTTCTTTTTCATCTTCTCGCCCACTTGCAATAACTCTTCTTCATCATCACTACTACAATATATAATTCTTTGATAATTGTAATTATTTCATCATCTGCCTCCATATTACTTATTATTTACAAATAATATTGTCTTTTTTCTTAAACCTCCTCGCATTCCAAACTCCTTCACATTGTCATCTCTGTTTTTCATCTTCATCTTCTTCAATTTCTCATCATATGGAGTCTCTCAGATACTCTTATCAGCAGCGATTTCAGTTGCAAATTTGCTCATTGATTACCTATGCTTTTCTTACCATTTCTTGCTTTTAAAGTTGTACTTAAAAATTATGTAATAAAGTTTCAACACATTTCACCTTGTCCTCTATATTATCTCCACTACCAACTCCTCCTTTCTCTCCTTCTTCCTGCTGAAGACTATATGAACTCAAGTAAACGATAAAATCTTCTAGTCAGTTTCGCCCGTTTTTTTTTGTCTCTTCTACAAATTCGCTTATTTAAGTATTTTGTAATATAATAATAAAATTAGGAAAGAAAATCAAGTCGCTTTCTCTGTGGCTCTAAATAATAAAACAAAGAGAGAGAAAAAAAATCCAACACTCATTAATAATGCTACAAATATTGATCCTCATTTTGCCTTTTTTTTCACCTCATCTTCACGTTTTTTCTTCTATCTTTTTTTATTTTTAAATACTAAACTAAAGTTAAATGTCTCACGTTGTAAAAATAAATGTCTCGTATTTACTTCTTTTAGTCAATAAAGTATAATTTTTCTCATCATTTCATCTTCTTCTCTTTTTTTTTCTTCATCTTTCTCGCAAAAAATTATCACTTGATTTCCATCTTCTTCTCTCTTTCGCACAATCCTTCTATCTTCACCTTTAAAGTATCCTCTCGTCATCTATAGAATAGTATTTTATTGGATAATAAATAAGAATATCTAAAATACATTCTACCTAAATTACACGTATTTGTTACTCTTTTTTTTGCATTCTTTTCACTTTCTCAGCGCGCAGAGCTTTTCTTTCTTTTTTTTTCTCTCTCGCACAAAATCTCTCGCGCTCTGTCTGAACTAAAAAATTCTACACTCCTTTTTTATTTTACCTTCTCTAAAATATGCCCCGCGTTTGTCTTATCGGTGACATAAATAAATTCATCTCTGATAGCGTCTCCATTCGTGAAAATTGTTTAACATTATACCATGTTTTTCTTTACAACTTCTTTGACGAAAGAATAACCAAGTGAGGTTGTGTAAGTTTGGCACTTTCAATAAATTCATCATTATTCACTCCACCATATGAGATTGTGATATTGCTCTCCACTCATATGCGTGTGTGTGTGTGTTTTTCCTTAAGCATGGTGCTATGTTTCATCAAATTCCTTCTCACGATACGTCGACGAAAGTGAACGAAAATGGCATGATTGCTCATCTGTGTGACAAATTGTGGGAGATATGTTTGAAAATTGTCTCTGACAAGAGCGAAAATCCATCGTCAAGTCGGTGTGTAAGTGGGTAGAAAGTCACACAAAATCATGTTTTTATCTTTTTTTTTTTGAAAATATACTGAGATATGTGTAGTGTTTGAATTGAGATATGTTTTTTTTGGATACTTTTACAAAAATGTGTCAATTGAAACGCTGTTTTTCATTTGAATTGAGAAAAGATAACCCGACTACAGAGTAACCGTTGAATAGTGGCGTTAAAAGAGAACATTTCTCGCTAAAATCTCTCTCTGTTTCTCTCTCATCCGTCGGCCGCCGTGAAGATCTCACCGGCCGCCTTCCACAGGTGGGTGACAAAGTGCGGCCACCGGGTGGACGTGGTGGGAAAAGAAGCTGGAGGAAGTGATTGTGAGAATTGCTGTGGCAGAAGAAAGTATTCGGGCGTCAGTGTGTTGTAAATCTGCGGGCGCAGCATTCCAGATCTCGGCTGCTGATGAATTCAATGGATCGGCGCCTTCACTATGTGATTTGGGGCGATGTAGTGATAGCCGGGCAGCGGCAGGCCCGCAGTCTCCATGGAAATCCTGCAAAAAGCACACAAATCCAACATCAATTAGTCCAACATCGATTCCAAACACACCCACACGCACTCTATCAATTACTGTTGAGAGATAAAACAAAACTCCCAATAGAAATAAAAAGAGAGATAACATATGAAGACAAATAAATCCAAAAAAATTAAAATCAAAATAGACTATATTGTCAAATCTAACTAAGTAAAAAAAATAAAAAGAATATCTCTATTCACTTCTAGAGATGAACAAGATTTACAAGGAAAACATGAAATTATATTTGGAAGTTAAATCTACATTTGTGTGTTCAAAACATTTGTCCAATTGTTGCTTTTCATCCAATTGATGTCATCTCTTTCTTTTATCACACATCTCATCTGATCAGACTGGAAAAGGTGCATTGAACACATTTTCTCTATAGTTCAGCGCACAAAATTTCAATATATATCATCAGTAAAACCAAAAAGAAAAGATATATAATAGTTACTCATGTTGTTATTTACAACATCTTCTGTGCTTTTCCCACAATTAGTACATATTTTTTCTGGTCTGTTTGCAAATTGTAGTTGTTTTGCAAAGTGTTTTTTTTTCCTCCCAGTGAAAATGATGATTGGTTATTGACAAAGTATGACAAATCAGTACATATTTTTTTGTTAAAGCTGAAGTTAAATCACAAATGAAGTAGTAGTGATGTTTACTGTGAATTAATTTAAGCAATGTGTCCTTAAAAGAGCGTTAAAATGGCATTTCTTTCACATTCCATACAAAGTGAAACATGTGCGAAAGGAGGAGCATCCATGTGGGCGGAGCCTCCAAAGCCACGCCCACATGGAAGCACAGCAAAGTCTTCACAGTGAACATCCTATAGAGATAAATACTCTCTCTTTAGATGATGAATAAAATACCCTTCAAAAAGTACAAAGAAAAAAGAAGACATAAAAGAACAGAAAGAAGCTTTATGATAAAATTATAGGTAAAAAAACAATCTTACCGGAATTTTATGGTTGGATGAGGTGGACAAATTTGCTTGAAGGTGGAACATTTGATATGATTTGTTTTCATAAATCTGGATAAGTAAAGGATATTTGGTGGTCGGTCATCGTTCAGGTTGGTGGTTGGTAGTTGAAGAGGCAAATTGTGATTTTTACGATTTGTAAATTTGATAAACACGCTACTATATATTTAGCAAACGACGCGCGAACATACATACACAACGCCCTCCAAATCCCACATAAACAATAATGTCGTGATGGGCGAAATTAGTTCATTTTATTAATTGTTTTAGGGGTAATTTTGAATGTGCTGCTGAAAAGCAAATAGATTATTATTATTATTATTATTGATCGGTTATTTTGTGGAATCTCTCTCACGCACCGCGACGTGGCAAATATGAGTGAAAATACAATTGGGACATTTTGCATTATGCAATTTATTAATAATCAATTACTTTGGTGGTGAACAATATTGTTTTTGTTATCATTCACAATTAATTCACTCTTCCATGTTATTTAGCGGCACGATAAAATTACTATTATTAATATTTTATACTTCTTCTTTTTATCCTCTCAAATTGCCTGTGATGTATCACTTCCAAAAGTCCATTTCGTTTAAAATCTATTTTCAATAAATTGGGGCATTGATTTTACACCGCTAAATATTTTCACCTCATAAGTCTATTTATCATTTTTTCTTTTCCATTTGTATTTTATGTATGTATAGCAAGATAATTCCCATTATTACTTATTATCGCAAAAATGAAAAAGGAAAAAACACCTAAAATTTTGTTTCCTTGTTTCTCTTTCAGTTTATATATATGTATATATATAATCCCACACTATAATCTACAATATTCTATGAATAAATACACTTCAGTAATCGCTTTTTTTCTTTTTAATATTAAATTGTAAATTCATGTTTCATCATCATCATCGATAAAATATTGTCTTGAAAATTTCATAAGTGATCCATGATTTGTGATTTCATATTTAAAAAACAAAACAATTATAATTCGTGAAAGATTGAAAAATTTTCTCACAATTTGTGTGTTAATTTATAATTTTCTTTTTTTTTGTCTTGGGGGGAGGGGAATTGAGACGGAAAACTTAAGAATTTGGGTGCAAAAATTGCTTCTCTTTTTCATTTATCTTGGAATATTTTCTTCACGCGATGAAAATGAAACCATTCGTTTTTCCTTCCTTCTCTTCCTCTCTCTTAACATCTAGGAAATCTAATAAAAAATAGATTTTACACCTAACTGAGAATAAAACACTCCAAAGAAATATCTATCTATATATATATATGCTGAATAAATAAGGGTGTCAGAGCGGGGAGAATAAAGTGTTAGAAATCATGAGGGATTCCTACTTTTCCTCTCATCTCCCGAATGAATGACAGTCGCGATGCGATATTATATCATTTGTGATTATGACAAATACAATTTTAGAGATATATATATATATAATAATTTTAGGATGAATAACTATCAGCTACAGTTTTATATATTCTGTAAGGAGATTTCCGTTAATCTAATGGGAGGGGCATTACTACTTATATACTCCAGTGTAATACGTTATAATTAATAAAGAAAATCAGAAAAAATGGACACAGAGGTCGGACTGTGAAGACACTATTTGCTCACAAACTCTCGCAAAGACCTAATAATAGTAATAATGCTTAAACCGAATGCGAAGAAGAGTGACAGATGCACACACAGAGTGAGTGTGAAATCATAATCTTAGGGCGAGAGTTACTCCTCGTCCTAATAGGGATTGAACTTGTTTCTGTCACTCTTCTTCTCCGACCCGCCGGTGCCACTCGAGTTGGGCGACCGGAGACGCGGCGTGAAGGTCTTGGGACGGTGCACCCCCGTGGTCTGCACCGGCGGCCCCAGATTCGCCAGACCCCCGAGCAGATCCGACAGCCCACCCAGCGCACTCAGGCTCGTCAGCGCATTGAGCGCGCCCGGCTTTGACAGCAACTGCGCCAGCGGAATGGCGCTGGCCAGTGAATTTGACGTGCCACCCGTGGGACTCGAGGTGGCCGAAAGCGCCGTCTGCGCCGCCTGTCCGGACGATGAGTTGCCACCACTGCCACTTCCGGCACCACCATTATTACTACCACCACCACCATTACTCGCACTACTTCCGTTACTTGCTGTTTGATTGTTTGCATCGGCTAGATTCGCCTTCTGGAGTTCGACGCTGTGGGGATAAGAGAAGGAGGTTCATGTTAGGTATTGAGGCATGGGGATATTGGCAAAGAGAGTGTGAGAGTGAGAGCGAGAGAAAGTGAGATAAAGAGAAAGACAGGTGAAGATTGTCTCATGTTTTTCTTTCATTTATCAGTTTTCCTTTGACTAAAAGTGACTCAGTGTTTGGAATTTTAAGAATTCCCACCGCCAAAGTCACTCTAATAGGAACAACCATGTCAATATTCATCAATTTCTAGCCATTTTCTGAGACATCAAAGTATTCTAAATGATTTTCTTCAACTTTCTCACTATGTCTTCTCGAAAGATTTGTCGGATCGGTGGGAAATTTATCGGATTGAGAATTATCATCTATCACATTTCCTCTATTATCTAATTTGTTCGCACTTCATGACTGTTTATCAATAAAGGATTTATATTCACGTGAACGAGCACAAAATAAAAAAAACGACTACAATCGCCACCAAAATGTGGAAGTTTGCCTCCAGCTTTTATTCACCAGTTGCTCAATGTGAAACTGATATGAGACAATCTGGTGTGTGTGTGTTCTCTATTGTCTATTAGAGCCAAACTTTACATTTCCTTCCTCTTCCTTTTCCTCTCATCGCTTTTTGGTCGTTCCAATGTAATTTTATCAATTGAAATTGTAGCTGAAGGTGCATCGTTTGCTTTCAATATCACTTACACATCCTTTTTTCCAACTATTTTGCATGTTTTCGCTTTGAATTCTCTCTAACATTGCAGTTAATTCTATTTTCTTACATCCTTTGTTCATAAACAGTCTCTTTAATCGCTGTATTTCTTAATATAAACATTTATTTTATCTTCTTTTCCTCTCTCAAACATGTTCTCCGTGCTTTTTACAAGACATCCACACTTTGTTTATGTCAATTTTGTCAATTAATTCGACGAATCAATCGCGTGCTCCGAAAGCATTGAGAATCATGTGCAACAATGTTTGCAAAACTATTTATCTACACACTGCGCGACATTCATATTTGTCGATGACTCTTTTTTTATTATGCCTGAAATAAATAATTCATGTGACAGTATTTTTCACTGATAAAAATGTCCCAAATATAGAAACGGTAAAATGCATTCATAATGCAAAAATCATCATTCAAAATGCATTAAATATTTTTCAGCGCTGAAATCCAACTTTTCAATATGCTCTTTTATCAACGCGAAAAATCACTTCTCTACCAAGTTTGGGGGGTCTTTGGAATGGGTGGGAGAGATAACATGTGTGGGACGTTAAAAATTTGCAGTCATATGAAATTGGGCTCTGGATTCTGTTGCAAATTCTCATTTTTTTCAACACCATTGTTTTCGTTCATTTTTTCATTTCAGTTTTAGGAAAGAGTGAGTTGATAAGCGATTTTTCTGGCATTTTTTGTTGTTGTTTGCTCTTTTTTTTTGGGGGGGCAGGGTAAAGTGCGGGGGTTGGAAATTGGGTGACATTGTTTATTATTAATCACAATAGCAATTGAGTTAATATGGCAAATGGCATCTCCATGGAACAGGAATGGCAAGAGTGTTTGTGTGTTATATAGGAATTACATTTTGAGAGTAAAAAAAACATAACAAGTGATTTTTTATGTTCGCCTTTTTCAGCACAGGCCGCTTTTTGAGGGCTCAATTGGGAGTGGGGGATTAGTTTGTTGTGATGAAGAGAGCATGAAATTGTGGGATATTTTGCATGGCGGGGCTTTGATGACTTTTTGAGGGTGGTGTTCGGGGGTGGAGAGAGAGAGAGAGAACAGAGAGAGTGTGGGTTCGGAGTGGTTTTTGGGGGGTGGACGGAAGCACATAGTCAAAAAACGTGTTACACACATTTGTATAAATACAGAGAGAGAGAGAAAAAAGGACACAAGAGTATGAGGCAAGGAGAGAGAGAGAGAAACAGTAAAAATACAAACATGAAATATATATATGTTCTGTGGTGTGATATGATAATAACAAGGGGCGGAGGTAGAATGATTTTGAGTTGAAATAAATTTGATTGATAACAACACATCCCCCAGAGTTTGTGTCACTCCAATTGGATTTGTTAATAAAATTTCAGGATTATCCTATCACTCTGCGAGATAACATCTCCAATCTCACAATCCCTACCCCTCTTTAGTGATGGTTATATACTTGGAGGGTGATATATTTAATATGAATTAATCCCATGATTTACCTCTAAAGTTATTCATGTTAAAGAATATATCGTACGTTATCATCTTATCATCCCCTTTTTCAAAATATATTTACACAGGTGTTAATCAAATGTATTCAAATGGATCTTTCTCACCATTTGAAAGATAATTTCCTTCTTCTCTCATAATCCAAAACAACAAAGTGTAAACTATAGAGAGAAAAAGGGAGCACACAACCATCTATAAATATATATATCTGTGGATTGTGAGGGGAAAAACGATGTCACCCCACAATATCTGGTTGGGGGTGGCTCTTCTCTAATCGGGGGGATAAAAGAAAAAAAGGACAGCACATCAATTTCCCAGTACATACCTCATGTTGATGAGATACTGAGCCAGAGCCACAGAGTCGGGATTTCCACTGATTGTGATTGTTCGATCGGTGTTGCCACCTTCGCGCTCCTCACAATTCGAGATGCGAATCATGGCACCTGATATTTGTCGAATCTCGGCGATTTTGGTGCCACCTTTGCCAATAATGCATCCAATCAAGTCATTTGGCACCGTCATTTCATGCTGCTGCTGATTCGTCTGTTGATTGCGATTTGTGTTGTTCGAGCGCAGCTGAGATCCAGCCAAAGCGGCCAATGCTAGAGACAGAGAGAGAGAGAGAGAGAGAGGAATTAAATGGACATCAATTTAGAGAAAATGCAGAAATCTTCCCACCCATCAGTGTTTACCCACAGACTATATATGATAGAGAGGTTATGATTGCGGCTGAGGCTTTGGATGCCACATACATTCTCATCACTCTAAACCAGCCAATGCACCAGTTTATTACCTGTGGGATTCAAACCTCCTGTGTTTGCTGGAGCCATTCCAAGAGCACCCAGAGCTGCTAAGCCGGCCAAGGGATTCTTGGTGAGTCCGCCCATCTGGCAATTGGCACAAAAAGGAAGAGAAACAAATATCGAGACATTTAATTAAATTCAGCACACAAAATGGGCATTTTGTCAACAGTTATTGCATAAATTTGTGATATGAAAAAGTGTTTTTTCTATAATTTTCTTTCTTTTTTTATGTATAAGGACGAAAAAAAAATGAAAAAGTAAAACGGAATGGTTGAAGGATAGTCTGAAAAGAAACAGAAAACATCCATTTACATTCGCAAGGAGTACACAAAAATATGTTTTTTTTTTACCATTGAGACTCTACTAAAAAACATTTTTTTTTGGATACAGAAGGAAGGTGTCGTCCATCAACCTTTAGGAGAAGATTCATATTAATCATATTATTTCCGCCTAGTCTACAGTGTTATTAGTGGACAAGTCAGTCAATTGCTAAAAATGAATATACGGGAATTATACATAATTCTGGCTAATCATCTTGAAAAGGTGCTGCCCAAAAAGAGAATTCACGCTAAACATTTCTTACACATCATATATTCTCTTTCTTGTACAATTTCAAACATTACGCTCTGGGTTATTTTGGCATATAAATACATAAGAATACAAAATGCCAAAGAAAGTCTAAATTGAAGAGAGAAAAAAAAAGCTTCTACGCATAAAATTTTCCACCCATAAATTTAATCATCCACCCCTTTAATTAATTATTAAATATCCCACGTATTATTTTATTAATCGCACAAAATACTTTTGCCATATTCATTAATGCTTCCAAAATAACAGAGTGAATATCAGAGAGAGCGAGAGAGTCAATTTTGCTTTAAAATTCATTGAGATATTTTCCTGGCGAGTTTTCGGGTGGAAAAACAGGCAGGACAAGAGAGAGTGAGAGAGAAAAAAGGTTGAGGCAAAATGTTCGGTATACAAATTGATTTCTCGTCCGTGAATTGGGTTGTGTCAAAAGGTTTAATATGGAAGTCACTCTCAGAACATTCACTTTACATTTTTTTCTTCTTCTTCTCTTCTCTTCTTCCTTCCTACGCCGGTGTTGTTGGCTCTGTGTTTTTCCGCCCCCAAAACCCAGTCAACACACAGAAAACGGGGAAAATATAGAGGAAAAATCACATTGGAGAAGTGTGATCAAAAAGTGCGCGGCGGCATTTGGAGTAAAGAAAAAAAAGAGAGGATGGTAAGCTAATTTTTCATTCAACCTCCTTCAATCTCTTTTAATTTCAAATAACTTTGACACTTTGACACATTGCCAGCTTTCATTAATTTCAAATATTTACACACCACACTTTACATTTTCTCCTTCATTATATTGGGAAGACACAAATTAATCAAGATATCAGCCATTTCACCTTTTTCCCCGCCCATCCACTCTATACAGAGCTTCACCGATGGCATTTCGACAGCTGTGCAAGGAGAGAGACACCCGCGATAAGCGCATGCTATTTTGAGGGCACTTGTCTTCTATTTTCCCACCCGCAAATTCCACTTTATACCCAACATCGATTACATGCTTGAGAATTTTGGCCACTAAACATGTCTCAAATGTCACCGTTGAATCAATTTCGTCTCGAAAATTCAAACATCAAGTGAATTATTCTCCATTTTTCCACTCGTGAATTATAAATTTATCTTCTCAACAGATTTTTCTTATCCTGGAATTCTATAGAAAAACGTCTCTTAAAACACCCCAAAATAGAAACAGATTGTAATTTTTTAATGATAAAATACCTCGCTAGTCTCATAATATAAAAATAGCGTACAAAAAAGCATTTATCATTGAAGCATTTTGTAGTGACAGTGAATTTCCATGAGTAAAATCACCAAAAATAAAGCTCTTCGCCAACACACAAATAATAAATGAAAAATAACAACCTGATATTGCAGATAAAAAGCATCAACCAAAATGCGTGTTAGTATTTGTAGACCACAAATAAATTTTTAAACACGAAAAAGAGAGAGAGAGAAAAATAAATTGAACAATATTAATTGAAAATTGGATAGATATTCGCAGGCCATTGAAGCGAACTTTAATAAACTGTGTTGTTTCAAGCTCTGGCTACATGTGGAGTGCATTAAAAAGCGCTCTCCTGGCTAGAGCTTTTGCCGCCGTTGCCCAGAAACCATATTATAAGCTTTAGAAATTATAGCATAATGCGCCGCCAAAACAGATAATATATATATACACAGTATGCCTTTTCTCTCATTATCCTGTCACTCTCTCTCACCCTTTCACACACTCTCGCAGTCTCCCTCACGTCCCCTTCTCACAAATACCACTGGCAATCTACCAATTAATTTGGGATCGGATTAAAAATGTAAATATACATAAGAAGTATTAAAATTCGGGTGAGATAATGTGGGTTTTTGGGTGGTGGGAATTGAGGGGCATCGAGAAACGACTATTAAAAACATGAGATTATATAGCAAAGTATGGGGTTTAATGCTTTGCATGGAATGCGGGGGGTTTTTCAGAAAGTTGGATCGGATACTTTTTGGCAGAGTTTATCTTGTTCAATGATATACAATATAAAATTACTTTGATACTTATGCTTGTTGATATAGAGATTCTTTCTTTTTTTATTGTTCTTTTCAGATAGAGAGAGAGAGATGTTTTTTTCTGGATGGATTTCTGTAGGGGCAGCACCAATCAAAACGATTAACTCACATCAGGTATTTGCTGTAGATGATGTGGAGGCACTGCGGCTGGCAGATGTGCCCCTTTCAGGAGTGGATCAGCCAGACCCGAGATGCCAGCATGAAGGCCACCGGCCAACGCTAGTGGAAATACTGTGCAGGTCTATAATCGACCCGTTTATGCGCGCAAAAAACACAGAGAGATAGAAAAAAAGAGAGAAAATAAATCACAGATTAATTAATGTCCAAACACCATCACTGCGAGGACACAGGATCAACTTTGGGGGGACACAGGCGTCTCATCCTTTCACACTCTTTTCGGCCAGAGGGATGCGTGTACACGATGTTTTAGTGACGGAATCTAGGGGCTACGCAGTTCGATTACAAAGGTAAAACACTGGTGTGAATGAGGTATTAGCGCAAAAGGGGGGGTTGTTGGTTTCTGGACAAAAGGGCCACAACATGATGAATCTACAGGTAAAGAGAGCGGGGTCCAAATCATGTGGTGAAGGGCTCTAGAAAAGTCATATATACGCTCTATTTTACGTCATACATCCTCTTGAAATCACTACCACACAACAATCTAATCATCCACTCTCAATGCACCATTCCAGATGCCACCCATCTCTGAAGACAACAGCCATTTAGAATATCTCCTCTATCGTCGAGGAATGCTGAGGGGAGACACAATCTCTCCCCCCACGGCAGACGTGTGAAATATTGTCTTTCCCATCTAAACTACTCTAGGCAAACACATTCCACCCTCTTCCATCTAAATACAGTGTATTTCAACTAAGCAAAATATGTCCCTTCGAGAAGTAATACACACAGATATGTGTTTATAATTCCATTCTCTCACAATTTACCTGCACAACAGCATATGTCTCACAAGTAAATTGACCACTAAAGGTTGATATGACTCGCCAGAGACAAATTAATTCAATATATTGCTTCCTTGCATTTCTCACATACTCAAGACTGCCAGTGAATCTCCAAAATATCATCTCGCCCGCCTCGAAAGTGGAATTATAAACACACCATCAAGTGTACGGGAAACATTCATGAAAAGACTAAGTATTAATATGTCGCAGAGAAATGTTAAAATAGCACAAGACAAAGCGCCATGAGCACATGAAGCATTCTACCAACATGTAATCAATCACATTACTTTGCACAACTTTATTAATTAAACTTGATATGGCGTCAGCTCAGAATGTTTCTGTTCTATATATGTGTTAAAATAATGGTGTATTTATGTAGAGAAAAGCAAACCATCTTTATACATGGACAACAATATCACCATAAACGCTAAATGTTACCTCTTGAGCTGGCACCGCATAATTTCCTTGAATGGTGTACGCCTGTCCATTGGCCAGAATTACAGGACCATTCACTTGTGGTTTTGGTCTGTACGGAATTGTTGCACCCTTTGGTGGTGACTGCAAAATTACAAAATTAATGCTTTTATAATATCATCAAAAAAAAACCTTTGCACACTCTTGAATTCTTCCCACCAAAATACTCCACTCATCAATTAAATTCCACACACACACACACAAAGAAGATCAATTGGGAAATCCATCAATCATTTAATAACGAATTTCCCATAGTAGTATATGGTTCACCACGCTATTGAACTATAGATATCTCCCCTGAAAATCACGTTTAAAAAAAACAATTCACATTTTTCACTATAAAGAGTGTGAGTGAATAAAAAAACTGAGGCAAATCCCAACAATGGCAAATCAATTTATTTCCATCCACCGAAAATTATGTACGAATTGTGATAAAGTTGCAAACTCTGCAAGAATTTTCACAATCAATTCACATGTGGTGTATTATCGTTAACGCATGAATTTACTGTCATTTGAAAAAGAACCAAAATTCTATTGTTGACATCGCTCAATTCCTATTGATACAATAAAATTATTGTGGAAGATAAAATTGATTTTCTCATCTCAAAATCGCAATGAATCAATCAAACACAGAAATTACTTTTTTTTTCTACAGCTATTAAATTAAATCCACTCTTATTCACTTATGTTGCACAGATTTATGAGAGTTCAGAATAAGGAATGTTGTAGCAAAACAATCTAATTGGAGAAATTCGTGGATATTCCCAAAAGAAATTACGAGAGAAAATCCAAAACTGAAACTCCATTCATCCTTATTGGACCACTGTGGTTAGCATTCCTGTATATTTTCACCTCAACATTACTCATAACTCTCATGGGAATATTTACTGGAAATTCACAGGATTGGATGTGTGTTTTATATCCACATATAGTAGATTTGTTACTTGATATATAGCATCAACATTGCACTCAATTCTCAACGAAAAGAAGAGTCAAAACATATTGTAAACAATCGACTTCTCTGCACAAAGATTGAGCACACGACAAAGCTCCAACCTTTCGATGTATGAAATTTTTCTGTGCTTTATCACCCGTGGAAGGAAAAGGTAACAGTGGAAAAGTGAGTTTTCCCATTCCTCAGCCAGAAAAAATAAAATCTATTGGATGTGTATAGCAGAAATCCATAGAGGGAAAAAGAGGAGAGAGATTCAATTGTAACACATTTATCATTGGCAGAATATTATTGTGTAATGTTCAGTGTGTGTGTGTGTTGAAGTGGGAGATTTTTCGGAAAATTGAATTTCTTGACACACAATCGAAAATATATATTCGTCCTCTGTGTAAGGACATTCCTCACACAAGAGTGACAATAAAAGGCAAAAACCTTAAAGTTTATGAAACATTCATTCAAAATATACGCATCATATGGCAAATGTTTTTTAATTGCCAGTCATTTATCATCGAGTATTGAATTCATTGCGCCATTTTTCACCCATCAACCATTCTGGACAGCTCTTTCTTTCCTTCTTTCTCCCCCCCCCCCGCCCAATCGCACATACGATGAAATTGCAGAGAAAATTCTGCTAAAAATGCATCAAAACTGAAATTTCTTCTCCACCACACACAAATCGTATAAATAAAAATGGGAAGTAATTCCAGTTGAGCAATTTATATTGCTCCATTTCAGTCACAAAAGAAATCAATAAAAGAACAACAACAACAAAAAACAACCTCTTCACTCAACTCATACTGTATTATATCGCGCGGATTAATGTCTTTCCAAAGAGATGCCATAAAAAATTTTTATGAATGAAAAATCCCATAAATCAGTTCATGAGATATGATAGGCCACTCACCTCCAGCATCACATAGCAAATATGATAAATACACTGAGTTATTTGATCAGCAGTTCCACTCAGTGTAACAGCACGTTCCGTCGAATTTGGCAACATCTCACTAGCCACTTGAATGGAGCAACCAGTTCCCTCGCGAATTTCCTTGATTTTAGATCCGCCTTTGCCTGCGAAACAACACACACACAGAAAGAATGCAATTAATCGCTGAATTTCCATGCAAAATGACATTTCTTTATACGCAGCGTACGGAAAAGAACCTACAGTGACTCCAAATCAAATAAGGCCACCCGAAGCTCTGAGACATATCGATGTGCCGTGAATTTCAACGTAAAGCTACAAGTCTGAATTTTTGCGTTTTTCCTTTGTCGGTCTTGCTTATAATCCCAGACTCATGAAATCTGTTCCTCGCGGTATTAATAAGGATTGGAGAAACCTTAGAAAACAATTCCTAATGGATCTTAGAAGCAGACATGATGAAATTCACTTAAAACAACTGAAAGTTATTCAACCCTTTTTACGCAGTCAATTGCACTCCAAATTCCCTTTCTGGAATAAGAGTTCCTTCTGGTTATTACCTTGATTAAAAATCCTTTCTTGTACAGTAGAAAAATCTCTGGAGTCGCGTATTGTTCCCGCCCCATACCTTGATATTCACTTAATCAAATTTTGATATCGAATACTTATAAAGTCCAGATAAAATATGAAAATCGACAGGACATTTATCCTGAAGACACCCCAGATACGTTTAAACTTCATCAAGATCATTTAAAGGGGCCCTATTTGATTTGCAGTCACTGTATTCAAAGTGTTATGCCCTCTAAAGTACATCTGTAACACCCTCTCCTTATCCAATTGAATTTTATTCAGTCGATTTTGAGGGCATTGAAGGCACTGAAGACACTAAAGACACTCTGAGAGATAAACTGGGACACAAATTTGTCTTGGCGTTGTCGAAAAGGGGCAATTTAAGATAATCCACAGCACAATTCAAGAAAAATAACACTGCGATTTGTGATCCCTCCAATTGGCGAGCTGACCAATACAAATACTCACCAATTAGTGATCCACACTGACTTGCTGGCACAATCAAACGAATCGGAATCTGTGTCTTTCCACCTGGAGTATTGACATCATTGAATTGCGAACACCACTGTTAAATGAGATAGAAATTACGAGGGGTTCAATTTGCAGTTAAATATCAAGGTAGTGTGTCAAAATCAATGGTGCACGAGAAGGAATATCAATTTACCTCTTCAAATTTCTTTGTAATGAGTGCAAATGCCTTGAAGATGGCATTTGTTGATCCAGACACCGTCACAATTCTCTCCGGACATGATCCATCGGAAATATTTATTTTGGCACCCGACTGAAAAATTCATATGAAAAAATTTGTTTAAATCAGATGAGAAAATTTCATTGAGAAAGTAATGCAACTTCATAATTTCTCTCCCTTTCTTCTTATCCCTCAGAAAACTTCCATGACAAACTCACACCCAGAACCTCTTCTCTTCTCTCTTTTCATCCCTCTTCATGCCACATTATTCAGTTACTTTAGTTTAAAATCATGAATTTAACATCCAAAAACTTTCCCCTCATGTGTCTCTTTCACAGAGTGGGGAGAATGAGAAAATTGGTAACTTTATCGTTGTTGGCCAAAAATTTAGGTCACTTCTCTTCCAGGGAAGGGAAAACACTCCAAATTCACAATATCCTATACCTTCAAACTCTCTCTCAGCTATTTTCATTAAATTTTCCCAACAGAAAGTCATCTTCAGCGGCATCGCATGTCTCTTCACCCTTAAAATTTTAATCAACTGACATGTACACACCATTCACGTTGCATTAACATAAATCTATTCATTTTCTAACTACACCGCATGGCAACAGGTGAGAGAATATTAACGAAATTTGAATGTGAATAGAGGAGAAAGAGGGTGTCGTATGGGCTAAACTAAACTACCCTCAACAATTCCAACGAAGCTGTTCGCCAAAATATTGTATGTTCCTGTGTTAGTGTGTGTGTGTGTGTGTTGCGAAAAGCCAGCCGGTGATAGATGATGGATTATATGCAATGGATGTGGGTGAGATGGGGATAAAATTGAATTAAAATTTATGGAATAAAAATACAGAAAAAATACCCTTACTAATGATGCCGATCTTCACGATAATTCATCATCTTATAAACGAGAGCAATTATGATTAATGAAAGTAAAACTTCTCTCTTCTGGGTGGCTTTCTCGCCTCTGTCTCTCAACTCCCTCATTCCATATAATGCACTCACTTTTCTCACTGACCTCTGTCCATAGTTTCATTTTTATATAAATTGACCACTTCTTCTCCCCCCAATTCAATACCACGTGGCTATAAAGACAATTCTATGCTCTCTTAAAATCCAATTTATAAATTTAATCTCCAACAGATGATAAATGATTTATTAAATGCACTCAATAATTGAGTGACATTTCTCTTGTCTCTCGTCTGTCACGCTGAAATAATAGTTGCACTGATTAATCTTTAATTATGGTGACGAAAATAGTTCTAGCTGGAAAGTTTATAAAAAGGTCAAATCAATATTTTCAACGAAAACTCAAGTAAACGCGATCAAAAGTATCGCTTTCTTGTGAATGAATGAAGATTAAAAAAAATTCCCTGTAATGCCAAATGCATAAATTAACGTCACAACTTTATAATGACTATCGATGTTTGCCTCATCGCACTGATATTGGATTTTCCGCGAATTTTCGCTGTTTCATATATACATTGTGATAAGTCAAGTTAAAACTTTTAATTAGAGGTACGTTGTTCGCAATTTCCATGTACCATGCGCGCATGGTACACAGCCAATAAGCTTTTCCAAATTACCCCGTGACACTCTGACAGAAAATTACACTCACCATCGGGGGTGTGAGTGGCATGAATCAAAAGTTCATTTCTTTCCACCGAACAATATATATATAAGCGCGAATGCTGAGCGTGAGCTTTTCTCACAAGTCATCATTTTCGCGGAAAATTTATGTGTTATGCCAAAGTTTTCACCGTGAATGTTTTGAGAGAGGAATGTTTGTGTAAATTCTCTCCCTCTGAGAAGGGGAGCGGAAAAATGTCAATTTTCAACTCTTTTCACTCATGCGTGTCTCTTTTTCGACACTTCATGAGGAGGCGCGCACACATGTGTGAGTGATGAAGAAAATTCACCTTTCCACATATTAGCCCCAGTGTGACTGTTCACCTCACTCTGTGCCATATGTAGAAAACGCATCAGTCACCATACTGTGTTAATTAAGCTCAATATTTAATTAGAGAATAATTTTCTACAGTGAGAATTTTGTATTCTACCCAACATTCAAGCTCAAAATTCATACATGTGTACAGTATTTTCGTTGTGGTCTGACACAACTCCTCCCGCTCTTCTCACACATCATGATGGAAAATTCAATATGAAAATACTTTTCACAGAAATTCTGGCATCTAATTGGCACTGAAATGAATGCATGAATTCATTGCAAAATTCACCAGTCAGACAAATCATCTACCAAAGAGGTGAAATGTGCAAAATCACTTTCACTCAAAGTCTAAATAATAATAATAACAATTCTAACGAGACCTTATTTTAATTATTGTGCACATAGAGAAAAATCCCAAAGCTTACAGAAGGTCAAATTTATTTTATCAACAATAACAAATTGCTTTGGTTTAGTGTGAGTTTATCAAGAAAAAAAAAAAACAGTGAGAAGAGAAGGAAATTAAATAATGACACAAACTCTATTCAATATTGATCAATAAACAAATTGAAACAATATTAGATATAGGAAAGTTTCTCTTTCTCACTCTCCTCATTTAGATTGTGTAACACAGACAAGTTATGTATGTTTGAATTGAGCAGACTTTTCTCAACACCCACAGCAACCCTCCTTAGAAAACACTGACTTCTTCCCTCTTCACACTCTTTGTTAAACTTCATCTGTTTGGGGGTCTCTGTTCGCCTTTTCCCAGCCAACACTCGTAACTATTTGTGACTTTCAATTGAATGAGAATAAATGGAATCCACGTGAACTAATATCCTTGATTGCATCCATAAATTTCTCATCTATTTCCCTTAAGATTTCACCCAATTCTTTTCCTTCCACCCTCATCAATACACATTATGCTCTGCATTCTATGCGATATACATATGTAAGCAAATAAATGTATATTATTATTGCCAAGAAAGAAAATCCCAAATCGCACCAGGTTATAGTCAGTCTGTGCTTGTTTCGTGCTTTTCTTCTTTTTAACCACCCCCTCAACTTCACCGAAAAACCACCACACAACTACAATGTTGTGCGGTCACAAAATAATAAATAATGCGCCCCGCAGAAACTTTGCCATTTATCTAATTGCAAAATTAGTGAGCAATTTATTGATGGACTTTTCCCCAATTTCCAATGAAGGAAAAACATAAAAGACTTCTTCCAACAGCTATTCTTGGCACAATTAGTGTTGGAAAAAGGTGAGAATGAAAGGGGTGAGTTGGGTTGGAAATTGTGGTTCTTGGAAAAATATTTACTTCTCACCCAAAGAAGATTTATCTCATTTAAGGCAGAAAACCTGAAAAAGAGAGTTTATAACCCACTCCGGTGCACTCCACAGTGAGAACTCAAACTTTCAACTGTGGCAATGATGGTGTAGTAAATTGAACAATTATCCTAATTGTGTGTACAGTGACGACAGAAAAACAAACTTTGTCGCATGTCTCTCTTCAATTTCTTATTACATCTTCTGCCTCATTCATCTAGCAATTTCCTCTCAATCTTCCTGGACACGAAGCAGAAAAACCCACCCAAAAATACATCGCTCTCCTCCAACCACCTCCCCCCAATTTTCTTGTCATGAGGGATGAGCAGACAGAGGAAACCTCAGCTAATTTTATAATTGCTTTGTTTGATTAAAAAACTTCTTCAGCATTTTAGTCGACATCTTCAGTTCTGTCCCTCATCCTATATATATATTCTGCCTTTTTTTCCCTCCACCCACTTTCATCCACTTCCACCTCTGTCGCTTCTCTCGCCGCGGCGTTCCCACAGAAACGATGGAAACAATGCCATTCTTAATTTGAAGGATTATAAATTCGTAAGGGCGTTTTAATGGGATCTCTTTTCATCCACTTCCATACAGTCTTGGAGACAGCACACCCAAACCGCCCACCCCATTTTCCACCCCTCTCTCTCTCTCAGCCCAGACGGAAAATTGTGTCCAGGAACGCTCTAAAACACCGCAATTTAAAAACCCACCCACTCACCAACCCCCTTTCGCACTCGAGAGCGAGTTCACTGTAAATCCCACAGTCATTATCTTCAGCTTAGTAAAAAGTCACATCATAAAACAATAATAAAAACCCCTTAAATTTGTACCAAACCTCGCGAAATACCAAAGTGACAGACACGTACTGGGAAATGTTATAGTCTCTATTCTCCGTTTTTTTTATTACCCACAGAGCAAAGAGATTTTCTCAGGAAAAACTTTGAGCAAACATTTCATTAAAGGTGTATCTTAAGGACATATATATTCTCCCTCTTAAAACCCCTTAAAATATTGGATATGCCAAAATATTTTACATTAATCTGTCAAAGTGGCATAAAATGCCTTTTAACAGCAAACTTTGAGAAATAAATGAGGAAGGAAAATTTTTATGAATGATGATGGATGAAAAATAATGGTGATGAATGATAACTGATTCCTCAAACTCTCCAATATATATATACTCCTCTCGTCATTTAGTGGTTGTTGCCATCGCAAACACATCCGTTTCTCTCTTTCTCTTCCATTTTCTCATTTTTTTTATGCTAAAGCAATATTTTTCATAACATCGCCAACACTGACATTGCAGAGTTGATGTTGTGTGCAAAATAACCCCAAAGTGTCATGGAAATCAAATGCATTTCACAGTTTTGAGAGGGAGAGAGGAGAATCAAATCAAAAATATATATGGTTCACTTACCTCTTCGCGAAATCTCTTGACAATTTCACCCTTTTTGCCAATGATACTTCCCACTTCCTGCAAATAGAATGAAAAAAAACAGACAGAGCATTAGCAATTTTAGCCAGGAAAAAATGTCACATGTATTCTAAATTGACAAAGTGTCCACAGGAAAGAAAGTCTCCGGGAGCATGAGAAATGCTGAAATATGAGAATCACGCGCACCCGTTTCGCTGCAAAACGGTGTTTATGCCACACAGTGCGAATAAAGAGAGGAACTCTAAATAAAAAAGCGACCATTAAAAATATGCAGAATAGACTCAAAACACTCGCTATTCCATGTATGGAAGATTAAATTGAAAGAACCTTCAGATAAGCTTTCTTTCTTCCCCATCTCTTCACATTCTAATTAGTGAACGTTTATGCAGAGTGAAGAGAACAAAAAAAAAGTCCAGCGTCAATAAAAATCTAACCATAAATTTGATGGTTGGCTTGATTAAAAAATGTTGCCGTATTAGCATTGAATTTCATAGTATTTGCATAAAAACTGTAAAAGGATGACAAAGTTTCATATCGCAGCTTTAATATGAATTTTGATCAAATCCTAAAACCATTTTCCGCTCTTCATTTCACAGATCTCATTTTCCACTGTTCATCCGAACGAAGTAATTCACTTAGTGAACTAGCAAACAAATTCATGTAATTAAATTTCCCTCTCGGTAAAACCTCATAGTATCATCAACTTGATGTGTAAATCCAATCAGAACAGCAGAAGAACAGCCAGTTCATGAGGTGGCAAAAGACTCTCACACTCTTCGGAAGGTGAAATTCAAAGTAAAAAATTAAAATATACCAACAAACTGCAACATTCTGCTGTGTTTCAACCTTATTTACTCAATTTCGGATGAAAGAATAAACCTTCGTTAACCAATTCAACCACCTTGACACCATCAACTTGAGATACTTTTTCAGCAATGCTTGGCTGATTTCTCAGATAGATGGTTTGTTGACGTTATAGTCAGCCCATATAACAAGATATCGTTGTCGCGAACCAAGCGATTCTCGCAGTTTGGAATATAATACACGTTCCATCAGCCCGTCCACCCCCTTTCCACCCCCTCCCCCCCGTACACGCTCTTTTACATACAATATTGCAATTTAAATCGCACATCACAGCCAGCAGCTTTCAAAGTGCAGAAACAGTGGGAATCTTGTGCTGTGGCTCCTCTATATATTACATCCCATTCGGCCATATAGTCAAAACACCATCAACCATCATCATCCGACAGTTGAGGTAGTGGCAACCACAAATTCTCTCTCTGTCGTCACCGTTTTCGAGGAAAGCACAACGTGGTGTGCCTTACTGGTGTGTGATGTCGACTTATATATAATATTAAGGGAAAACAAGTAGAGAGAGAATCTCCTCATCTATACAATATTACATATAGCGTCAACCGTCGAGACAGGCGAGACATAAAGAATTTCAATAAACACACTGCCGCATGGTGTACAAATACATTTTGCATCCTACCATACAATATTCACAAACTGATATCTCTTTTCTCATCTCACTCACCCAACAATTGGATAAGAATAGCAAAGTGTGACAGAGATCACGGTGAAATTCTCACAGATTTTGCCACACATTGTGTACATGCAAAACTTAAAACCAAGAGAGAGAGAGAGAGAGAGAGAGAAGTGAAAGAGGTTGTTTACAGTGACAACACAGCATACAAGATTGAGGAATTTCTCTCTAGGAAAATCTCATTGTACAGCATCACCCCTTTTGCATATCCATGCAGCTTGCCCGTTAAAGTTCCAAAGGAGTAAATTAGAATAGATGTTACACGATGAATTCAAGTGAGGGAAAATTGCAATGCTCCTCTCAAACCACCAACAGCGCGCTGTGTCGGCTGGGCCATTTCACCCTGGCACATTCTCTCTCCTCGCCGCACACACACCCCACAGAAGAGAGCGACAATCCATGTGCAGAAACACACAATATATCACATCGTGAAGCTTAATATGTATGTACATAGCCAACAAGATAGACAATTACACAAATCAGTTTCCTGGCCAGAATCCCGAAGAGTTTATCTTATGCATTGCTAAATCCAACAACAACAACATCTCTTGAGGCATTCAAACTAATTACCACATCTATTGAAAGAGAGAGAGAGAACAGAACAACAGCTGCCCCGGTCACTCAATCAGTGGAGCGTGGAGATTCTTTGGATTTCGGGAGCAGGTCAGTTGAGTGGCCACAAAGATAAGAAGAAGAGCGGTGAGATTTGCTCCTTTTGACTGTATCGTGTCATATTACTCCTCAAATCACTCACTCGTGCAATTTCTCACCACACACTCTGCATTGTATTTATTCTCAATCTGACACCGGCACAGAATAGATTGAATATTTTCTTACATAAACTTTATCTACAGACACGCCATCATATCGTGTTATGGACACAAATGCTGACAAAGAAACCACCAAGATTTCTTCACATTCATAAAACTTTTCTTATCTACTGTAGCATTGATGTCTTTGCAAAATCCAAAATATGATAAAATATATTAAAAGGAAAAATTAAACTTTGGTAGAAGGTAAGACAAAAAATTTGTTACCATAATAAACTACATCTCTTCACATTGTTCTACAATTTTTGCGCCACAATATTCTATGTACACACGCCGTTTCATATGTCAACCGAAACACAAAGTCTCTCGTGTGTAATAAAATCAATATACTCTGCACGAATAGGCAAAGGCACTTTATGATCGTCTATATATAAATGCAATTTTATAAAGATTGTGTGAAATTCAAATGTTGGCCTAAACGCTGTAACCTCAAATTGTTTACCATCAAATTTTTAAACGTCCAATTAACATCTCAATGGTCTCATTAATTGGCACTATATACCAAATCCTAAAACTATAGTGTTCTAAATAAACTCACACAAACCGTCAAAAGTCATTAAAAAGTGGGGGCTTTTTCAATTTAATCTGCTCTTGATATCCGGAAATTCTTCTATGCATGTCATTGAGAGAGAAAAAATCTCTCTAAATCTACACTCATCCATCAACTGCAGTTGAAAATCACTTTGGTGAAAATTCCCCTCGTTGAAAGTGCCAAAGAATTCACTCTTATAAATCCACTGGTGGTAAATAGCCTCAACAACACAGAGTGATGCTTAACTGTCATAATATGTGAAATACAACAAATAGTCGCATGCAATTAAGTGAATTTATATTGTCAACAAAATTTCCCCTCTAATTCTCACACCAAACCCAAAGTGTGCACATCAAACCAATGAAAACATTAAATCAATGCTTTATTGGTCACATTATGGGTGTGTATTTGATTAAATTATCTCAAATATTATTATGTTTTGTAGTTAAGGAATGAGTAGCTCAACAAAAGGCCGTCAAAACCCCATTTCAGAGTGCATTGTCAGTGAGGGATTAATTTAGAAGTTGGCGTAAAACTTCTTCTTAATTAGATTGTCGACAGAGATTGTAGGAAAATTTTATTTCCAACTCATTGTAGTCCATCTTAATTTTAATATTGTCTGCACTGCATGATAAAGAGAGTTTGGGTTGGAGTTGAAGGAGATAAAAAGACGAAAGAAAAGCTTCTTTATAACCCTTGAAGACCAATTATCTTTTGATAAATTTCAATAAGCTCCCCTTTTGTGAATATTTCTCTTAACAATTTTCTCCCGCCGCTTTTTTTTTGCCTTTCACATTCGTCGTCCGTTCTTCTTCTCTTTTTGTGCATCAACACACAATTTATCCCAACTCTGACTCTTTTTTTCCACTCTCTCTCTCGCTCTCCTTATTCTTTAGCAAAGCTCTCGCGCGCGTCACTGTCAAACATGAACAACAGCGGACTTTTCTTTAAACATGTCCTTTATTCACCCACACATAGATTTATTATCCCTTCAGCGAGAATATCAACTTCCTTCTATCATATTCAATACATTATTCTCCCCCATTCTAATCTCTCCTTCGCCATGATCAGTAATCACATATTGACAAAGGAGAGCAAAATCTGTGACTGAATATGTGATCCAGCATCTGGATTGAAGAAAGAATGTTGCAAATTTGGATCTTTAACCTATTTTACACAAGCGCACTATTTTTAACCATAATCCAAAATGTGAAAATTGTCTTGAGAATGTCGCCCAAATATTCTCACTTGATATAAATTTAGAATAAATGAAGACCCTTTTCAACACATAATTTCATAGCAAAACCCATTGTTATTGCACGACAAATTTAATAGTGTTTCACACAGACTGAAAGATTTACGACTATCAGTATATTATTCCGCATTATTATATCTTATAGTGGCTCTAAAGCACACACACTTACAAAACCACCGAATGTCGAGCAATTTACATAATATTCAAAATTATTCTGCAAATCATTCAATATTTAATCTATCTACCTGACTCATACACGTTCTTACCCCAAAATTTTCATATGCAAATATATATATATGTACATAAACCCTGGAATTTACACGGTATTTACCTTTGAAATTATCTCAAGAGGAACACATGTGGCTCTTACTCATAATCGAATTAATCTCATTAATTTTATGAAGTGATCTCGAACGAATTACACATTTTACCGTGCATTACAAACACTAACTCGCGGCGTGATTCTATTTTAGAGTTTTGAATTTTGTCCTCACAAAACCACAAAGCACAATGTATGTAAAGTTGAACGCATTTCAGACTCAATTACGTGTGCAATTTGCAATAAGAAAAAAAAACACACAAACAGAGAAACAGCCATGATAAGTAGAGAAAAGAAGGAAGAGTGAGAGAGGAAAGAAGTCTTTCTTCTCACGTTTTGACCGAAATTTCCCCAAGACTCAATAGTTCAATAGAACAGAAAAACTACGATGCATAGTGTACATTGTAAGAAAAACTGGCAATTTCATATGTAGTTTAATATATTGTTTATGCATTGTACACTCATTCTTCTCAATGCGTGAGTATGAAAAGAAATTGATTGAATAACATGTACACACATTTGGCTTCAGCCTCTCTTAAGAGAGCGCACGATTTTGT